CGCTGTCTGTTCTGAGGCTGTGTCAGGTTCCCCCCTTGCGACTTTCCTCCGGGACCCGGTGTCCGGTCTGTTTACCCTCGACACCGCTTCCCCCCCGGTTGGTGCGTCCTCCCAGGTCGCTGCAGCTTGCTCGTGTCGGTCCCTCACTCACCCGTCCCTTCTAAGGCACCACCGCGTAGGTCACCCTGATCTCCCGCGTATGTGTCACATGTCCCAGCACGGTCTTGTCTTAGGTCTCCCTGCGTCGCTCCCTGCCCTTCCTCCCTCGACTGCGCCACCGTGCACGCCTTGCATCGAGGGCCGGCTCCGCCGTGCTCCTCACTCCTCCTCGCTGCGCCCTGCTACTGCCCCCCTTCAGACCCTGCACCTGGACGTTTGGGGCCCTGCCCCTGTCCTCGGACCGCGTGGTGAGCGCTACTTCCTTATGCTCGTCGACGACTACACGCGCTACACCACGGTGTTTCCCCTGGAGCGGAAGGCCGACGTGCCCGACGTTCTTCTCCCGTGGGTTGTGGCTGCGCGTCTTCACCGCGGTCTCCCAATGTTGTGTCTCCACTCTGACCGTGGAGGCGAGTTCGCCTCTGGTCGGCATGGACAGTTCTGTCGTGCAGAGGGCATTACCCAGTCGTACACCTTGCCGGACTCGCCACAGCAGAATGGGGTTGCTGAGCGCCGCATCGGCTTGGTCAGGGAGGTCGCCCGTACCTCCATGCTCCCAGCGGCCGCAGGTTTCGCCGACCCTCCTTTGGACCGGGTCCCCCGGTGACGCGTCTGCGTTCCACGTCTGGGGCTGCCTTGCTCACGTTTGTGCCTCTGGCACGAACAAGCTTACTGCCCGCACTGTCCCCTGTGTCTTCCTCGGTTTCCCCCTGGACTCGTCTGACTGGCTTTACTACCACCCGCCGTCTCACCGCTTCCTCCACTCTCGTGACGTCACCTTTGACGAGTCTGTCTCCTTCTACCGCCGCTTCCCTCACCGCGGTCTCCCGGTTGCCCCGCCCCTGTTCCTTGCTCCCTCTCCCCCGGTAGCCCCTGCTCCACTCCCGCCTCGCCCTGCCCCGTCTGGTGTCTCTCACGTCACTCCCCTCCCGTCGGTTGTCGCCGTTGAGGAGTCCGCTGACTCTGGTGGTACCCTCCGCCCGTCCTTGCCGCGTCCCCCTTCCCCGGTGTCTTCGCCTCCGCTGTCGCAGTCGTCACCTCCGCCGCAGCCGCCGCCGCCGTCGCCGCCGCTGCCGTCGCCGCCGCTCTTGGCCCCTGGGGGTGCTGGTGTGGAGGAGGGTGTTCGTCCTGCGGCCCCTGGGGGTGCCGCTGGTGTTGGAGGGGGTTCTCGCTCTGGGGGTGGTCGTTCTGGGGGTGCTACTGTTGAGGGTTCCGCCGACGGTCGTCCTACCTCTGCCGGTCCGAGGGTTCCGGCCCAGCCGTCGCAGCAGCCGCAGCAGCCGTCGCCGCCGGTCTCCCCTCTCTCAGCCTGCTCGGCCTTCCCTCCCCGGACCGCTCGCCGGTGTCTCCCCCACCGCCTGCTGACCTTCATGTCTACGAGCCTGTGTTCCCGCCGCCGGACTCGTCTCCGGCCCGTCTTCCTCCTCGTTCCCCTCCTGTGTCCCCTCCGCTGTCCCCTGACCCTACACCTCCGTCTCACGTTTGGGCTCGCCGTCCCTCCGGTGCTCGTCCCGTCTCTCCTATCCTGCCCACCCACTGTATGTTGCTCCGTTCCCGCTCGTCTCGTCCTCCCCTCCTCCCGTCTCCTCCTCCCTCGTCCCTTGCTGTTGCACCTCCTCCATTCTCTGACTACCTTCGTGCCGCTCGTCCCCTTGTCCCTCGGGTCCTTGCCTCTCTTGTTACCGACCCTGCTGTTCCTGTCTCGCGCCTTGACGCGCTTGTCGCAGCTGTCGCTGACTTTGCCTCTACCCGCCGCCTTGACTACGCTACCGCTCTGGTCTCTGACCCTGCCCGTCCTCCGTCCGTCGGGGGTGCTCCTGCCCTTGGCAGTGACGTCCTAGAGGACAGGAAGTACGAGCTTGCTTTCGTTTCCGAGGCCGCTCCCCATCTCTGCTCCATGCTGTTATTCCCTGAGGGTGACCCAGACGCCTTCGACATCCCGACCCCTCGCACCTACGCTGAGGCCACCTCGGGACCTTGGGCCTCTCAGTGGATAGCTGCCATGGAGCAGGAGATGGCATCTTGGAGGTCCACCGGCACTTACGTCGACGCAGTTCCCCCGCCTGGGGTGAACGTAGTCGATGGTCAGTGGCTCTTCAAGGTGAAGCGCCCCCCTGGAGAGCCGTCTGTCTTCAAGGCGCGCTACGTGGCCAGAGGTTTCAGTCAGCAAGAGGGGGTTGACTTCTTCCAGACCTTCGCCCCGACCCCGAAGATGACCACTCTTCGGGCGCTGCTACACGTAGCAGCACAGCGCGACTACGAGCTTCACTCTCTCGACTTCTCTACTGCCTTTCTTCAGGGCAGCCTACACGAGCAGGTCTACGTGCGCCGACCATAGGGCTTCACTGGTACCTTCCCCCCTGGGACCCAGTGGCTTCTCAGGCGCCCGGTCTACGCCCTGCGTCAGGCTCCTCACGAGTGGCACGATATGCTGCGGGCCACGTCAGCAGACCTGCAGTTCTTTCCGTCCTCTGCTGACCCCTCGCTGTTTGTATGTTCCGGCCAGACTCCGTTCTACATCCTTGTCTACGTAGACGATCTGGTCTTCGCTACTGCTGACAGGGACGCACTGGCCTCTGTGAAGGCCGAGTTGCTGAAGAGACACACCTGCACTGACCTTGGAGAGCTGCGTCGCTATCTTGGCCTGCAGATCTCTAGGGACAGAGCAGCACGCACCATCACTCTGATATAGTCACACTTGGTGTGTCAGGTCCTTCAGAGGTTCGGTCTTCAGTTCTCCTCCGCACAGCCCACACCTCTACCTGTAGACCATGGGCTCTCCGCTCCCGTTCCTCAGGAGCCAGTAGAGCCTAGTGGCCCCTACGCAGAGCTGGTGGGTTGCCTCATGTACCTGATGACTTGCACTCGCCCAGATCTCGCATACCCTCTCAGCATCCTGGCTCGCTTTGTGGCTACAGGCAGACACCGACCTCAGCATTGGTCTGCCGCTAAGAGGGTTTTGCGTTATCTTGCGAGTACATCGGGCATGGGGTTAGTGCTAGGAGGACGCAGACCAGTGGTCCTTACTGGGCACACAGACGCTTCTTGGGCAGACGACTCTGAGACGCTCAGATCGTCGCAGGGCTACGGTTTTAGCCTTGGTTCGGGTTCTATCTCTTGGAGATCCACTCGCTCGTCGTCTGTGGCTCAATCCAGTTGTGAGGCTGAGATCTACGCTGGTGCCATGGCGGCACAGGAGCTCCGCTGTCTGACCTTCTTGCTCACTAACTTAGGTGAGCGGCCTAGCTCTGCCCCAGTCCTGTACGCTGACAACAGGGCCATGATACTCCTGTGTCAGGAGCCTCGGCTTGAGGGCAAAGTGAAGCATATCCAGCTGCGGTACTTCCTCCTGCGTGAGTTACAGCAGCGCCGCCAGGCCCGCGTAGTTCACTTGGCCTCAGGTGCCAACACAGCTGATATCTTTACTAAGGCGCTTGCGCCTAAAGATCATCAGCTGCACTGTGTTCAGCTTGGTCTTGTTCCTGTAGCTACTCACCTGTTAGGATCCTGATTGTGTACTCTCTATTATATATACCTGTCAGACTGGCCTTGTGGCCTTACCTCCAGTGGCTGGACTAGTAGTGCCGCCCTGGCTTGCTTTAGTCTTGTTTGTACTCTTGCTGACTGGTCTCCAGACCCCTGCCTCGGTGGTTGGACTAGTAGTGCCACCCTGAGCTGTTTGCTTCTTGCTTAGCTTCACCCCTTGTCTAGCCGAGGGGGTGTGTCAACTTATACATATTAGCTATGTAGAAGTTATAGGCTAGACTGGGGTATGTTGCTAGTGAGTACAACCAACTAGTATTTGTTCTAGGTTTCTCCTTCTAGTTCATCATTCAGTTCTTACTTTGACACGTACATGTCGCTTGATCAGCCCACTGAGTGTCATGTGGTGCAACAACACATGGTTTGTCAACAGGCCTCAAATTTGAAGGGTGTTTTACCCTGATTGCCCTTGCCAGCGGCCACTTTTTCAAGATCACCCTGATTTTGTAAGGGCATTTTTTCCGTGACCCTTAGTCAAAAAGTGTGAGATTGCTTTTACCCTGTTGTAGTAAGTGTTCTTCTAGTTCTACCCTGACCAGACAGGGTATCGCCGAAATCACACTGAAACAGAAGAACGGCCTGCATATTCGACAAGTTTCTGTGTCCAGCTAGCGTCGCACCGCATGTGTGATTTTGGCGAACGGCCAATCAGGCCCTTCACACCTGCTCCAGCTCGTGTCGGACTGCATCTTTGATTTTGTCTGAAGGGCCAGTCAGTCCCCTAACACCTGCTCCAGCTCGCGTCGGACTGCATGCTTGATTTTGTCGAAGGGCCAGACGCCTCTCACACCTGCTCCAGCGCGCCTCGGACTCCAGAACGTGCGTCATTTTGATCAAGGGACAGCTATGCCCGGTACATAAGTTGCGCAACTAATCGAGGTTGCACAATCCTGTCTGGTTACCAAGAGCGTCGAACCTCGCACGGCGTGTGAAAGATGGGTTGGACTGATTTTAGTTGGGTTATTTCGCCAGTGGCGCAACCCGGGTTGCGTTCTCGACACAAAGCGCAACCCATGTACCACGCCCTCACATGTGCTCCAGCCCGCCTCGGACTTCCTGCGTGATTTTAGTGAAGGACCGATAATGTCTCTCAAACACGCTAAGAAAGCTGGAAAATTACAAGTTTCTGTGCAGTGGACAGGGTGATAATTTTAGTACCCTGTACATTCAGGGTACTCATAATTTTTTACAAATTTACCCTGATTTTCGAAGGGTGACGAAAATTTTACCCTAAGAGACAGGGTAATTTGTTTTAGGTACACTGATTACTAAGGGTGTCCCTAAACCAATTTTGAGCCCTGTTTGTCAATTGTCTGGTTAGCAGGTCCAAAAGCGAGTCAGACTTGATAGGCGTATGGTATACAGGATGGATTAAGCTGGTGCCAGCTTATTGGCAGCGCCCGCTGCAGTTTCACACACCCGACAAACTAATCTACAAATGCAGAAAAACAAGAGGCATTGCGAAGCGATTATCGGTGAAACGGCTCCGGAGGCAGGTTGTAGCGTGTGATGCGAATGCTGCCCGCATTTTGTTCTTGCCAACTAACTCCCCTCTCCTGCAAGTAGCGATGCACCTGAGAAGAAAGAGCACACACATGATCAGTATCAGCACCAACACTCGGCCGAAAGAAGCCCATCAACAACCTGCCTTACCGCAGGTTTGATCTTGGCATGGCCATCAGAGCTGTGCTTGCCTCTACCAGTGATGACCGTTATGCTGCTAAGCGCTGCACACACACCAGAGTTAAACCATGCATGCAGCATACACACAAGCCATACAGCAGACCCAGCACCCACCAGAGCACAGGCACCAGCATTATGCACCATCCTCACAAGTACACAGTCTCTGGGCACACGCTCTAGGCACGGCACTAGAGAAAATGCTGGAGAGAGGTCAGATGGGGTGAAATAGAGAGGTGCGGGAGGAGTTATCCATTCACAGGGTAAGGTGATAAGGAAAGGACATGAGACGATTCGGGGGGGGCACTGACTGGGCAGGTTTTTCAGCAGCGTGAGGTGCAGCTGCAGGTGCTGCAGGGCTTCGTCCACGTGCAGGTTGTGCAGGTCCACGTCCATGTTGTTGCCCAAGCGCTCATTGCTGGGGGGCACGCACACAGGTCAGGGCACAGGCGCTTTTGCAGTCACAAGAATGCAGATGACGAAAGACAGACAGGGGAACAACCACATGCAGACTACGATTGAAAGAAACAGAACACAGGAATGCAGCAGCATGGTTGCGCGGCAAAACAGCATAACCAAGAAGGAGCCGTGCCACTCACTTCTCCCTGAAGATGCGTTGGCTTGCCGCCTGCATGAGCTCCTGATACTCCTTGCGGTACTCGTGACCCTGGGGGGACGCATGGAGGGAGGCATGGCCGGGGGGAGAGACATGGAAGGGAGAAATTTATGAAGGGGGGGTCGAGGTCAACTTTGTGCCAGAACACAGCCAGCCAGGTATCAGTGGTTTGCTCTGAGCGAGTTCCGCAACCTTGCTTGCTACAAGAATCAAGGGGAGGGACTTCACCGTTCCATCATCCCAGGATGCATGCTTGCACTGCGTCTAAGTGCTCTCAGCAGTCCGCTCACCTTGGGTGCAGTGAGCGCACCTTATTTGCAAGAGCAGCAGCTCTCTGCCTCTCCCCTCGACCCCACGCTGCACTGGCCTGCCAAGAGGGGCCAGGGAGAGGGCGAGGGGGGGGAAGGAGAGGTCGTTTCGAGGGAGAAGAGAGGGGAGGAGGGGACAGGGTAGATATGGGAGAGATGGGGCGAGGAGGACAGGTACGATGGAGCAGCGGAGGGCGAGAGGGGAGCCGGGAGGGAATAGGGAAACATGTTCAAGGGGAAGAGAGAGATTCATGTGGACGCACGAGCAGGCGCATATGCACAAGCAAAGGCACGGACTACAAGCAGAGGAACGGGGTAGAAGCAGAGGATCCTTGCACAAGTAGAGGCAGGGGCTGGAGGCAGAGGAGTGGATGGCGACCTCTCGGAAGTAGTACTGCATCATCCTCTTCTTGTCAAACGCCGCCTCGCGATGCCGCCGGTAGCAACTCGAGGAGGACCCCGGGGGAGAGGCGGGCCCGGCCCCTCCAGGAGCGCCTGCACGGGCCGACACTGCAGCGGGAGAAGTGGTGCCAATAGCACTCGCGATAGCAGCAGCCGCTGTAGTAGCAGCAGCGCTGGTGCGAGCATCGACACCAGCAGCAGCACGAGGAACGTCAAGAGAGTCAGTATCCAGAGGGCTGAAGCGGTTGCGACTTGCATAGGGAAGTGGGCCGGCGTCACTAGCGCGAGACCTGTTACTAGCATCTGTCAGAATAGCATAATCGTCACGATCACCATGACCACCACCACCGGCACCGGAACCATCGCCAGCACCACCACCACCACCAGCGGCAAGAGCAGCAGCAGCAGCACGCTCAGCTGCTCTCTTGCGCGCTCTCCACTCCCACAGAGGCACCTCTTCCTGCCTCCTCTGCCCCGCTTTATGCACGCTGCTGCTGCGACTGGCAATGGGATAGGAAGGTGTGGATGATGCTGCCACTTCAGAGCTGTCGAGGAATGAACAAGTGTCGCTGGGGAGAGGCGGGGGTGGGGGAACAGGGACAGGGGGAAGAGGGGGGTTGGATCTTATGGCAGTTAGGGAACACGTAAGGCGGGATTCCATGTGTGGTTTGAGGTGAAACCCAACCCAAGTGAGCAAGTGCGAGATGCGGACGACCGGAAAGGAGGAGAGGCAGGGCAGAGACACGATGTACCGGTTAACCGCCTCACAACAAGCAGTGATACCGTGATACCGTGACGCCGTGACGCCGTGATACCGTGATACCTATCCTATCCCCACCGGGACACTGCACCTGAGGGATACACCCCACACACACGCAGCGGCACTTGTTTCTATGAATAACGGCATGCCGTTCAAGCACCGCAACACAGACCGTGGTATGACCAGCGCAGCTCACAACAACCTGCGCTATCTACCCTCTGGCACCTGGGGGAGGGAGCCCAACGCGCACCTGAGGGAGCACACAGCACCTGAGGGAGCCCCCGCACGCGCGCAGCACTTGCACAAGGGAGTCTCGGTCCACTCGCGGGTACATCAGCAGCAGCTGCTCCAACACCGCCCGCTCAGCAACGTCCCCACCCTGCACGAGGGGGGGGAGGAGGCGGCAAGAAGGGAAGTGAGAGGGACGCAGGGGAGGCCAGAAGGGGCGGGCCAGAAACACTTGCACGAGGGAGTCTCAGTCCACTCATGGGTACAGCAGCAGCTGCTGCTGCTTCAGCACCGCCCTCTCACCCACGTCCCCACCCTGCACGAAGGGAAGGGAAGGAGGCGGGAAACGGCAGGGGTGCAAGGGGTGGAAGGGGAGTGAAAGCGGAGCAGGGGAGGTATGGGATGGGGCGGATGATAGGGATGGGGCGGGTGGGGCGGATGATAGGGGTGGGGGGGCTGATAGTGGTCTGTCGAAATATGTATCTCCCTCCTCTCACCCCGTCACCCACGTCCGTCTCCCCGATTGCCTCACCTTGGCTGGATCGTCCCGGTCGACACCCTCCTTCCGCCTGCTAACACCACCACCACCAACACCAGCATCCACACCGCCTCTCCCCCTCTCTCCCCTCCCCTCCCCTCGCCCTGCACCCCCCAGCCCACCAATCTCTGCCCTCCCGCCGTTTGCCCCACCTTGGACCTCCCCATTCTTGCCATATCCCACCCCCTCTTTCCGCTCTTCCAACCGCCGTCCTGCATTTCCCCCTGCTGCCAGTGCAGCAGCACGCGCAGTAGTGGCAGCAGCTGTAGGAGGAGGAGCAGAAGACGACGCTGCCTTTGCTGCTGTTTCCTGCACCAGCAGTGCGTCTGCTGCTGCCTCTGTGTCACCGTCAAGAGACTGGGAAAGGGAGGGGGGAGGGAGGGTCGTGGGAGCACGCGGAAGTGCCGGGTCGGGAGAGGATTTCAGGGCACTTTAGAGTCGCAACGAAAGTCAGCTCAGCAGTGCGTCTGTTGATACCTCTGTATCGTCAAAGAGGGAGCTGTGGAAGATACAGGGGAGAGGGACGGACGGAGGGTGGTGGGAGAAAGGCGGAAGGGTTGTCTTGAGGCTGGCGTCCAGCAGTGGGAGGCTGGCGTCCAGCAGTGGGTGGCAGGCGTCCAGCAACGGGTGGCAGGCGTCCTGCAGTGGGTGGCTGGCGTCCAGCGCACATGGCTGGCGACCAGCCCGGTACTTTTAATATTACGCATGCAACCAACCACCCTAGGAATGCAACCAACACCCCCATGGATGCAACCAACCCCTAGACATGCATCCAACCCCCTTGTAGGCACACCTCCAGGAAAGCAGCGACAACAGTGCGGTCGAATGAAGGGAAGGCGTCGCACAGCATGGCTAGCTTCCCATCACCACCTGAAGCAGACCCAGCACCACCACCACCACCTCCAGCAGCATCATCACCACCAGCAGCAGCAGCAGCAGCAGCAGCATCGCCATCGAATGCGTCCTCCATGTTGTCATCCATCTCCACGGCTCCCACCCTCACCTGCCATTGCTCCTCACATTTCACCCCACCACTCCTTAACCGACCATCAGCACCAGCAGCAGCAACATCCCCAGTACCAGCAGCACCACCAGCAGCACTACCATCAGCACCAGCCGCATCAGCATGAGCACCGGCATCAGCAGCACCCTCCCCAGGGTACCACCCTTCTGCTTCCTCCATCTCCACATCCCCAAACGCACTCCCGCACCCTCCTTCCCCCCCTCCTCCCCCTCCCTGTGCGCCCTCCCCTCTCCCCTGCTCCGCCTGCCCGCCCACCAGCCCCAGCAGCACCTCCAGACTCTGCAGGACGAGTGTGTGGGGGGGTGGGGACGGGTGTTGTGGAGGGTGACAGGGCAGAGAGAGGAACAGGAGTGTGGGGAGGGTATGGGGACATTGGCAGAGGAAATCAAGTCTTAATGGGATGTCGGCCGCGATCAGGGCAGGCGTTGAGGGTCGCGCCGGAGGGGAGGCGGGGAGAGGAGTAGCAGAGAGGCATGGTGTGGTCGGTAGGAAGAGTGGAGTGGACTAGAGTGGTGTAAGGAGTGGAGTGGAGAGAGAGAGAGAGAGAGAGAGAGAGAGAGAGAGAGAGAGAGAGAGAGAGAGAGAGAGAGAGAGAGAGAGAGAGCATGAGTCCCTCTCCAGCTATATAAGCTCTCTCCCTCCCTCATTCTTCCTGTTTAGTTTCCAGTTCTTTCTTTTCTCCAACCCTTGGTGGCGAGAGAGAGGAGAGAGAGAGCGAGAGAGAGAGAGAGAGCATGAGTCCCTCTCCAGCTATATAAGCTCTCTCCCTCCCTCATTCTTCCTGTTTAGTTTCCAGTTCTTTCTTTTCTCCAACCCTTGGTGGCGGCTCGCGTCGGCGGCCTTCGGCCGCCGACGCTCGCAGCGCGGCCTTCGGCCGCGCGTGAGGGGCGGCAAGGACACAAGGCTTCGGAGTCAACTACGACAACATCAAATACACGCATCCGGGGTCTACAACCCGCCAACACTACACTCGGCAAACAAGCATGGAGAGCCTGACAGAGCTTACCAGAGCGCTCACGCTAGGGCGCACTTCACCAACCAGAACCTACACACGACGGCAGCCCATCATGCGGCTTCGTCCGCTCCAGCCTCCTCAAGCAGGGCCCTCACATAGTCCCCCAGGAGCATCAGCGCTGACACGGCACCGCCAACGATGTCTACAGCTGCAGCCGAGTCTACGCTCGCCGATACTGTCCGCATCACGGCGAGCAGGCGCGGGTCCAACACGGTTCCCGAGGCAGGCACAGGCTGCACTCGCGTGGACACGACAGCCAGATCAGCTGCAGCCATCGCGCAGCGGTGGAGCGGATCGTGAGGCATCTTGCACGGGCTCACTGAGCTCCGTAGAACGGAGTGTGAGTCCGTCAGCATCTCCACAGCATACCCCATCGCCCTCTGCGCGTGCCAGAGCCGACGAAGCGTGGCGATTGGGATCGCAGTCTCCGCCAGCCGCGCCCTCCCCCGCAGGCGCTCCAGCTGCGCCCTCTGCGGCATCCGCAGCCCACCCGAGCGACGACGCCCCTGGTCCCCAGGAGGCGAGCCCTCGCCCGTGGACTCCGCTCCCCCCATCTCCGCTGCTTCTGCCCCCCCCTCAACTCCAGTCGGTGACGCCAGCGAACGGCGGGGAGGGACAAAGGGCGCTGTCGCCCGCTCGCCGAACGATGCCGGTGCCACCAACGGCGGTGGGCCACGGGACCATCCTGCCACCGACACATCCGGGGGCGTCGGCTGCCAGGGCGGCAGTATCTCCGCGGACCGCACGTCCATCCGACGCGGATCGAAGGGACCGGCCGCGGGGAGGACTGGCGGAGGGGGTGCGGAGGGAAGGGACGCCAAGAGGTGCTGGCTGTCAAGGAGCGGGAGAGATGTCACACTGCGGGGAGGGAATGGCGGCGTCGGTGCCTGAGGAAGGGGCAAACGCACGGGCGGCAAGTGCGCCTGCTGGTACTGCTGGGGCGCCAGAAGCTGCGGAGAATACGCCAGAGCCTGCTGGGGTTGGGCGACACTGCGGAACAAGCCCTCGAGAGTCGCCGCGGCCCGCCCTAGGCGCCTCTCCGCCGCGGACCCACGGTTACTCCCCCCGCCAGCCCTCCAGCCGACGCGCTGGCCCGAACGCCCGCGCGGCGCCTGCGGAGTCCGGCGCTGCTGCCCAGGCCCCGCCTGTGGGCGGCGCTGAGGCGTTCCTCGGCGGGCGGGATGCTGCTGGCGCGGTGACTGCTGCTCCTCGCCACGCGCCACTGGTTCACGTCCAATCTCCACGGCGCGCTCGGGGGATTTCTCCTCGTGTCTCGGGGGCGCGGCAGTCCTGCCCCGCGACTGCCCCCGCATCCGCTCGGGAGTCTGTCGGCGAGCCGTCGAGGGGCCGAGGAGCCCGCGCTCCCAATCCCGGCTCGACGGCGCTGGAGGACTCGCCCGACCTTGGGGCGACTTGCTGTCCCCAGTACTCTCCAAATCGGCAGAACGCTCTCGCGCTGGTCGCTCCATCCCGAGGAGGCGCGCCGCACTCGGCACCCCCCACGACTCGGCACGAAAGCCGAACGACGACCAGGGCCGCCCCGAGAGGAAACCACGGAGGCGGACGCGGAAGACTCAACGCACGGACGGCCGGAGGGCGCGGTCGCGGGGCGGCAAGGCGTGGCAATCTGTCCTCCGATGGAGGACCACTGAACGGATTCCAGCAGGCAGCGAACAGGGCTTTAAATGCCTCGGAACTGCAACGAACAACTGATGAGGAGGAACGGGCGGACGGAACTTATATACCAGGGGACCAGGGAGACCCCACGACTGCAACCTCCAGCGAGGAGGAAAACGTCGAAACAAACAGGCGCGCTGGAGGACGAGAGACTGACCCATCTCCCAGATCTAGGGGACGAGGGTCCAGCCGCTTGCACAATACTCGGGCACCGCTGGACACCCACCCCCAGGCAGCCCAGCAGTTGTCCCCGGAAGAACTGGCGAATGACCCCTCCAGATTCGCCGTCATCGCCACTTGGGACGTCGCAGTTCTCTGCGACAGTCGCCAACCCCCTCTCTCCCGCCGGTTACCCCCCCAAATCCGTCAACTTTTCGCGCTCGCCCTTCTGACACCTCTCCTTTTCCTCGCCAAACATCCAACCTCCATCGAGGGTTGGATCTTGTTACTTTACCTCCCGCGCCTCACACTTCGCCTACCCTCGCCACGACGCCCTGACTGGCCCGCGACGGAACGACGACTTCGATAATTTCTCGCGGGCCAGTGGGACACACTGTATCAAGCAGCTGCCTCTGCTGTCACCCTGCCACCCCCTCCCCGCCACGTACCTGACACTCTCGGGAAAATATCCCGCGCCGAGGGCTTGGTTCGACGAGGCAGTTTGCGACGGGCACTGCTCGCGTTGACCTCGACCCCAGTCAGCAAGTCCACCCCCACGGTCCTGGACGTGCTGAAGTCAAAACACCCCCCTCCGCTTGTCGAAAACCTCACCTGGCCACGGCTCGACGAAAACTGCAGGCCACCGACAGTCGATTTCGCTACGTTCGCGAAGCTGCTCTCTCGCTCCGAAAATGGAGTTGGGGCAGGCCCCTCGGGGATGACTTTCGAGCACCTTCGCGATGCCTCGCTGTCCAACCCCACCGTCGCCACAAATCTTCACCAGCTCGTCCAACGGTTACTCGCGGGTAACCTGCCGCACGAGGTCAGCCAACTCGTTACCTCCTCACGCCTCCTGGCCCTTACCAAGCCAGATGGGGGTACCCGCCCCATCGCAATAGGAGAATGTCTCCACCGGCTAGCAGCAAAATCCGCGCTAATCTCCGCCACGCATTCAGCGCAAGACTACTTCCTACCACACCAATACGGGGTGGCCATCAGAAGCGGCGGAGAAACCATCATCCATGCCACCAGGGGCTTTACCTCAGCGCGCCCGGGCTCACTCATCCTACAAGTCGACCTTTCAAACGCCTTCAATAGCGTTGACCGCGCGGCCATCATCCACGCAATCAACACCTCGCCCCTGCGCCCGCTCCTCCCCTTCATACAATTCTCCTACGGAGCACCGTCCCTGCTCTACCTCGACGCCGAGTTCGACAGCCCACCCCTACTCAGCGCGCGGGGAGTTCGCCAAGGGGACCCCATGGGCCCCCTCCTCTTCGCAGCTGCCATCCACCCAGCGCTCCAGACAACCGCCGCGGCCCACCCCGAGGTCCTCTGCCTCGCGTACGCCGACGACATCACCTTCGTCGGCGATCCGGACGCCTGCACCTCGGCGTTCCTCAATTTCACAGCGGCCATGGACCGCATCGGTCTCTCCCACAACCCCGCGAAATGCGCGGCGTGGTCAGCCGAGCACCCTGCACCTGACCGCCTTCCCCCAGGCATACCTTTCAACACAGAAGGCGTCCGCGTACTTGGCAGCTTTATAGGCACAGCCGAGGGCACAGCCGCATTCCTCCGCACCCAGCTAGACCCTGCTAGCCGAACCCCTCGCCACACTGGCCACCATGGACCCTCAGTCCTCATCCCTCCTCCTCACACGCTGCGTATCTCGGCGTGTCTCATACTTAATCCGCACCACCCCCCTTGACTTCCTACCCCTGGACGTCTGGTCCGACTGGGGTCGGGAGCTCTTCTATACCCTCCTGCGTGCCTGCAACCTCCAACCACCTCGGGGCGAGGTGGAGCGAGCGCGCACTTGGGATCAAGCGTCCCTCCCTCCCTCTCTTGGCGGACTGGGTCTAACCGACCCCGCAATTGAGGGATACCCAGCCTACCTCACCAGCCTCACCCAAGCCCAGGGCCTCTTGGCTGACCTCCCAGCAGCGTCAGGAGGGCCCCTGGCCGACGCTGTCCGGCACCTCACGCCACCTTTCACCAGCCCCACCCACTTGCATACCTGGCTGGCGAAGTGTGAAACGGCGATGCCCCCACGAGCCCGGGAGCTCCTGCACTCCGAGAGGACGGAACCCTCCGGCTCCCCACTCCAACACCGCTTATCCCTCGAAGTCCAGGCCGTGCGATACGCCGGCCAGGTGGCAGCCACGCGGACAATGGACCCAAACCCACTCTCTGGGCACACCCAACGCCTCTTTTCCCTGGCTGGATATGGAGCAGGGGACTGGCTTCAGGCCATCCCCATCTTCCCATCCCTCCGCCTCGAAGCTCCACACTTCGCCATTGCCCTGGCCTTCCGCCTCGGCCTTCCATTCCCAGCCCCCCGCACTTGCAACTGCGCCGAGGAATTCGAAATCCTCGACACCAGGCTGCCCAACCACCTGCTTCGGTGTGGCACCGGGCACGGACGGACTGACACCCATAATGCCCTGCGGGACGAGAGCATACGGATGGCCCGAGATGCTGACTTTATAGTCACCAAGGAGACCACCATCTACAGCCCCGTTGACGGCCACAAGGCCGACCTCGCCCTCCGAGACCGCAGTTCCGGAGCCGTCTGGATCTGTGACGTCACTGTCACAGATCCCATCAGCAGCCGGGACCCGGACGCTAGAAAAGGACGCGGATACATGGCCCGGGAGCAAGCCGACAAGAAAATCTCCCATTACCGAAATCGGGGCTCCGTATGTCGGATTTTTCCCACTTGCAGTCGAGACATACGGCTGCCCCTGCGCCGAGGTCCCTACCTTCCTGAAGCTGCTGGCTGACACAGGGGCCAGGAGACTTTTCAATGCGGACCCCAGCTCCTACCAGGCAGCGAAACTGCTCCACCAGTTCCGCCAACGCTGGTCAGTGACGCTGCAACGGGCACAGGCCTTGGCTTACCTGGGCAAAGTTAATGAAGCCTCCCCTGCCCCCCACACCCCAGTGGGCACCCATGACGCCGACATGGCCCCTGGGGACTGCTTTGCCATAGCAGAGCCCCTAGGGGAGCTCGAGTAGATTCGAGCCCTTAAACATGCACGTACCTTGACTTGTTGCCCCTTGCTTGCCTAGCCTGTACCCAGTTTTCCCAAACAATAAACGGACCGCTTGAGAGAGAGAGAGAGAGAGAGAGAGAGAGCAGGGCGGATAGGGAGGTGTGAGGTGACCTGAGACATGTCCCCGTTGTAGTATGCTGCGGTTGCGGGCCACGATCGCAGTCAGAGGGCTCGCATATGTGCCATGACGCGTCCACAGATACACCAGGGCATGCACGCAGCATCACATGCATGCACCATCACCATTGTCCCCCCCCCCACCAGCACGCACAGCAAACCAGACACACAAGCAAAGGAACGGAACATGAAGGCATTGCATCGGCATGGCACGGGGAAAACAAAACGTACACTCTATTGCACAAAGCATATGACACAAGCAGCCCACACCTCAACTCCCTAGCCTCCCTCCCGTCACCTCCAAAACTGTACCATCCCAAATTCTCTAGTAAACGCCCTTCAAAAGGCTTAGATCAAGCAAAAGGCGAGGCGACTGACAGATGACGTAGCTGATGGTGTCCTTGTCGATGCATGCGGGGCTGCCCAGCATGGAGTAGAAGAACTCCACCATGTCGCCGTACTCCATGCCGCCACCGCCACCGACGCCGCCGCCCTCACCAGCAGGTGCTGCAGGGCCAGAACCACCAGCATCAGTGGTGGTGGCGGCGAGAGCAGGGTCGTCAGAAGGGGCAGGAGCAGCAGCAGCAGCAGCAGTTGTTGCGAGTGCGCGTTCTGCCTGGCCCGGAAATCCGGCCTGGTTCCCAGACCCGCTCCCTTGCCCTCCAGCCCTCCCCTTGCTCTCCCCTCCTTGCTGCTGCTGCTGTTTCTGCGGTGAAGGCACCTTCAGCTTACTTCTCTTGGTGTCAGGCTGCGCCGCTTCCTTGCCCCCGTCATTCGCCCCCCAACCACCGCACTCCTTCCCCACCCCCGACTTCACCTCACTCTTGTCATCCACCTTGCTCTTCCCCTTGTCCTTCCTACTCCTTCTCCCACCACTCTGCCCTTGAGTTCGTGCTTCGCCCGCTCGCTCATCCACCGCCTCCCATCCCCCTTCCCCCCACACGAAAACGTCCTCCTCTTCCCGTTCCGCTTCACCCCCCCCGCCCTCACCTTTCCGCCCTCCCCCGCTCTCCAGCTTCACCTCCGGAATCCCTCCCCCTGGTGCGGCAAACGGGGCTTCCTCCCACCACCGGCGCTCCTGCACTTGGAGCGCTTCTGCGCCGCCATTGCCTGCTGCTCCTGTAGCAGCACCACCACCACCACCGCTCGCAGCAGCAGCAGCAGCAGCAGCAGCAGCGTCTGTAGCGGGGTGTTGCTGCGACGATGCGAGCACAGCAGCGGCTAAATCGACGTCATATTCAGCGTCCAGAAACGCGCGCTCCACGCGGCTATGCCCCATGTCCGGAAACGCCTCCATGAGCCTCTTAAACGCCGCCGCGTTCCCTTGCGCCTGCGCCTGCTGCTGCTGCTGCTGCCGCAGCTGCTGCTGACGTTGCAGCTCCTGCTGCTGCTGCTGCTGCTGCTGTAGCAGCTGCTGCTGTTGCAGGTGCTGCTGCTGCTGCTGGTAGTACGATACGGGCTGTTGCGCGAATGGCGGAGCAGGATACGCCCCTAGCGCGACGGGTTGAGGATAGAAGGAGCCGTAGGGCGGGTAGGGCGCGGCGGGGACGATCCCCGCATTCCACGTGGGAGACGGAGCGTGATTCCCGCCGCCTTGCGCGGAAGCACGGTCCATAGTGGGGATAGTAGATTCTAACGCAGGAGCATACAGCGCGGATGCTAAGAAAGCGCCGACGGAAACGAGAGCGAGGGTGAGGGGGGGATGAGGACGGGGAGAGATGGAGCAGGGGAAGCGCCGCCGCGGTACGAGGGTACGAGGGTACGAGGGTACGAGGGGACGAGGGTACGAGGTCACAAGGGGATGAATGCGATTTCGCTCGCTCGTCCTAACGCAGGAGTGCGCGTCGACGCAGAGACAGCGCGGAATAGGGAGTGCCTCTGTGGAACAGCTTCGGAAGCAGGCTGAACAGATGCTGTTAGACCTAAAGCCGCTTCAACACGCTCGTGACTGTCGAAGACCTGGAAAGCACGTACCGGTTTTCAGCTAAAGGTGGACGAGGGGTGGAAAAGGAATTCGCGTAATGGCTTCTAGGTAAGTGAGAATCGGGGAGAAGCTTGCTGGTGTTGTTAGGGTACGAAGACACTTGCTAGAGGTGCTGTGACGTTACCACGGAGCACCCGCCTAGTTCCGAACACGCGACGACGCAAGTACTACGACGCACGCATCACCAGAACTCGATAACTCCGGTTTAGACGTGTCACAGGGGCAACATCAGACAAGAGGCGATAAAGCTCACGAGGAAATTAGAGACGCGAGCAGCAAGAGCCCTTAAAGCCCCCGTCTCATAATTCTAGGATCCGACCAAGTGTAAAATGCCTTGTACCCAGTTACGCTGGCGAATATAAAGAGACAGGCAAGGAAGTGCCTCGGACAGTGTGTTTCTTGCTGGGGGGCGAGACCAATTGTAAAACCAGCAGTGAAATATGAGAATGAGCAAGTTCACGGAAGAATGGGGACGTTGGACCGTTCGATCTTCTAGAAGTTCGGATCCGACGGTTCAGCGAGTGTATTACTAAATCTACCGCTGTAAACGAAGTGGAATTTGGCTGTGCAGGAAAATTGGATTCTGCACCGTCCGATGTAAAACGAACCTCCAGACTGATGTGCAAAACCTATCGCGAGCCACCCTTCCCCAGACCTGTTTTTGGTTCGGGTGTTTTACCGAAACAAAATGGTCTCGCCACTTGCGTTTCATTTTCGTCATTTTTTTTATACCTCGCCTACCAATCAGAGTTTGCCTGCTCCAACCAAGTGTAAAACTCTAGTAATTATGAGACGGGGGCTTTAACTAGGTTATTGCTGCTATTGAGCAGCAATGGCATACCCGTGCGTAGCAGGTTTGCGGATGGCGGTTGGTATGTGTTGCTGCTGGGACCACAACCGCCGCCACCACCCTCGGGAATGTCAATTCTCCCTGTGGGCTGGGCTCGCCTGAAATGGAGTTTTCTAGACACACCTCTTCTGTTCGGCATTATTCAGGGTGAGTACACTACTTCATAAGAAGTCGTTACAAATAAGCCCTACCTACAAACACACCACCTCTACAGATTTATCTCCTACGCGTACAGCTTCCAACATCATCTAGGCCTAAAAGCTACCAAACCTACTGATACATCGTTAGCCTCGCACCTGGTGCTATATCAAACCACATAAGTGTCTACTAAGCGTACCAACTATGAGTAGCTATTTTGGGCCACAGTCGGGGCGGGGGGATAACCTGCAGCTGAAGATGGCATCGAGGACAGCACTACAAGTAGTACACAACACAAGACGACGACGATCCCACAATCCCCCACCAACACACATGAGGTGTTAGGAAAAGCATTAGCGGGCCGTCAGGTGGCCACAGAAACACCTCATTTCAAGCTGGAAAAGGAAATGCGCAAGAAACTGCCAGGCGATTGCTTGAGGGGGAGCTTAGCCACTGGGGCTGTGGGGAGAGCGGAGCCGACATAGGCCTGAGCTCCAGGCGAGTGGGGAGCGGCAGCTGCAGCAGACTGGTATGCGTTGGAGACACAACAGCAGAAGTTCCGGCGCTAGTAGGAACTGCAGAGGGTGCAGCCACAGCAGCAGCAGCAGCAGCAGCAGGTGGCTGAAAAGTGAGTGCAGGGCTGGGGAGAGAAAGGCTGGGTGGCAGAGAGAGTAGAGAGACTCGCGCGGACTGCTGGGAGGAAGAGGGGGAGCTGCTGAGTGAACTCCCCCTTCCGGGTGACTGTGAGTGCAGGGACTGGGGCAGGGAGAGGAGAAGAGCAGTGCGTTGGGGAGAAGCTGCTTGTGGCGGGGCAGGTGGCAGGGGAGGGGATCGCAAGCGCTGGGGCAGCAGCTGCAGGCAGAGAGGGGGAGGCTGGGACTGGCATACTGAGAGGGGATGAGCCACCGGGGGGGAGGCTGAAAAGACGGGGGCAGGAGCAGCAGGAGCAGGAGCAGGAGGAGCAGCAGCAGGGGGAGCAGGGGGGGAAGGAGCAGAGAGCCTGAGCTTAGTAGGCACGGAGAGCAGGGGAATAGGAGGAGGCGCAGCCTCAAGGGTGGATGAAGGGAGCATAATTGCAGGCTTATCAACAGGAGGAGCCACGGGCATGGCGCTGCTGCCAGCGGCTGCAGATGCTGCTGCCGAGAGGTGAGCAAGAGCAGCAGGGGATGCAGTGACCCCTGCAGAAGCAGGCAGGGAGGGCATGGGCGGGGTGCCTGGTGAGGTGGAGCGAGGGAGGGTGGGGGCGAGAGGGGCGCGTTGGGATGGGGGCATGGGTGGCGGTGTGGTGGTGCTGGTGAAGAGGGCCATGGGCAGGCGCAGGCGCATGGATGGGGATGATGATGTCGCTGCTGGACACCCACCACTCACGGCCTGCAGCTGCTGCTGCTGGTGTTGCTGCTGCTGGTGTTGCTGCTGTTGCTGCTGCTGCTGCTGTTGCTGCTGCTGCTGCTGTTGCTGCTGCTGCTGCTGTTGCTGCTGCTGCTGCTGTTGCTGCTGCTGTTGCTGCTGCTGCTGCTGTTGCTGCTGCTGCTGCTGCTGCTGCTGCTGCTGCTGCTGCTGCTGCTGTTGCTGCTGCTGCTGCTGCTGCTGCTGCTGCTGCTGCTGCTGGTGTTGCTGCTGTTGCTGCTGCTGCTGCTGCTGCACCACCACAGCATGAGAGCACTGCGACAGCTGACTGCGCATTGCTGTGCCTGGTGCACGGGCGTCCAGCAGGCGAGGGGGAGTGGCAGGGGACAGGTGAGCAGGTAGAAGCGGAGCAGGCACTGGTGCCACAGGGTGCCCATTGCAGCTGGTCTGCTGCTGCTGCTGCTGCTGCTGCTGCTGGCTGCCGCAGCACGGTGGCACAGGGAAGCCCTGGCCTTGCTGCTGCTGCTCCTGGTTGCACTGCTGATAGTAGTGATGCTGCTGCGGCTGGTGCTGGTTATGGTTATGGTGATGATAGTGGTGGTGGTTAAGTGGGCCCTGCTCGCTTTGGCAGTTCATCTGCTGCAGGCACGTCCCCCTCGGCTGATTCACGCTCATCTGATCTTGCATTTGCCAACCCTGATTCACGCCGCCACACCCACCAACCTTGCGCCCACCACACGCCGCCACCCCAAAGCCCCAGCCACAGGCCTTGCTTTGCTCGCGCCCCGTGCAGTTGCTTTCCGAGCTGGCCGAGAGCGACACGGGAGTGTGAGTGTGCGAGCCATGCGCCACAGTGGGAGCCATGCACACGCTAGTACCCACGGGGTGCAGCAGCGGGAAGGGGCCAGAGGAGCATCCCGGGCCTCCCTGCTCTTCGGCTGCTGCTGCGGATGCTAGTGCTTCTGCCACTTCTGCTTTTGCTGCAGCTGGTGCGCCCTGTGCTGCTGCTGCTCCACTGCCCCCCGCCTCGCCCTTGCCCGCGCTACCCTCTCCCTGCTCGCGCGTGCCTCCCTCCTCCTCACTCCCGTGTCCGTCTGTCTGCGGCACAGTCGCCTGCTCCGTCGCCTTCGACGCCTTGCCGTCCTGCAGCTGGTGTGCGACGGCTAGGATGAGCTCCACAGCCTCCATGTCGAAATCCGCCGCCTCCACCTTCGCAGACAGCGGCGCTGCGACCGCTCCTGCGACGCATGCGACAGCGTTCGCACTCTCATAGCTCTTGTCGCCCATCGTGCCGCCTTCCCCGCACGCCTCCTCCCGCTTCCTCTTCCCACACTCCCCGTCCTTCACCTCGTCGCTCGTCCTCCTACCCGTGTCCTCTGATTCCGCCATCTGCCCGTTCATCTGCCCGCCCAGCACCGCGGCGGGCATGTCCGCCACCGTGGCTTTCATCTCGTCGCTCGTCGCGGGACACACCATGGCGGCGCGCCGGCCGCTCCCTTCGCCGCTGCAGCTATCCGACGCGGCGCCGCCGCCGCCGCTGCCGCTGCTGCTCGCGGGCATAAACCCCTGCCGGCTGTAATCGCGCCCGCCTGATTCCATCGGCGGCGGCAGCATGGTGGCTTGCGCGGGATGCTCCGCCGCTGCGGGGTCCGCGTTCTGCTCGCTGTGGTTCCAGCAGAAGGAAGAAGGGGGCGCGCGGGGAGCGGCGCTGCGGCATTGCGCGTGCGTGACAGCGGGGGAGGGGTAGAAGCCCGCGGTCTGCGCGGTCCGTGAAATCGGGGACCTCTCTACCGCGTATCCCTGCGCATGCGCCTGACTCGCTACACGCTGATCCGATACATGGCCGCGTGCGTCGTCCCCGAACATATGATGCTGAGTCTCGTACATTGCGCAATTGTGCGCCTCAGATTGTGCATGGGCATGGGCATGGGCGCACCCATGCACTCCGCCGGTCCATCCGCCGATGCTGCTCCCGCACGCGCAGTGATGGTGCGCACACGACTCCGCGCCCCATCCCGCCCCGGCGCCTGCCACAAATGCGCGCCCCGCCGTCGCGCGTTCCGGAGTTCCCCCAGGAGGTGCTGCAGGGATGGCGGCAGGCGCGCCGCCGGGCGGAGCTCCATTTACCCCCCAGGCCATTGGGGAGCTGTGAGGCGGAACGTTAGGCGGAAGAGCTTGGGGAGGGGAGGTGTAAACCAGGGGCGGCGAAGAGAGGGGAGCGCGGGGGTTGCGATGGTGGCAGCAGGGGCAAGGGGAATCCGAGGGGCGGGCGGATGGCGGAGCGGAAGCCAATGCGGGGATGTGAAGCAGCGCGGAGGGAGAGCGCGAAGGCGCATCCGCGCAACTTGCGGGGGGCACTCTCGAGTAATCCGCTTGCCCCACCGTTGCTCTCAGCTGCTGCGAATGCTGGTGCTGTTGCTGCTGCTGATGCTGATGCTGATGCTGATGCTCCACGTATTGGTAATGCTGATGCTGCGAGTAGTGCTGTGGATAGTACTGCTGCTGGGTGTGCGGGGGCTGCTGCGCCAATCGCTGCGCCGGTTGCTGCTGCTGCTGCTGCTGCTGCTGCTGCTGCTGCGGGTACTGCAAGTGCGGCTGCTGGAAACCCGGCTGCTGCACTACCTGCCTCGGGTGCACGGAATTGCACTGGCCATGGCTGCCTATGGGCTGTCCCTGCGGTTGATGCGCGGAGTACGGCGCTTCGGAGCACGGCGCTTGCGGCTGCCAGGGAAGCTCCAGTCGAAGAGGGGGATGAGGGGGGGGAGGGGGTGGCGCAGCGGGCGCAGAGACCCCGTAGGCGGGCGGATGCTGTACCTGCCACGGCGCGCCGCTGTACTGCTGCTGACTCGACGAGTAGCTCACGCCGTCCCTGATATACCCGCCCTCGTTACGACACACAATGCCCCCCCCGAGATGCACGTTCCCTGTGTGTCCGTTCCGCAGGTGGCCGCTCCCCAGGTGCGCGTTTCCGTCGACCAGCAAGCTCCACGGCACGATGCGCAAGTCGATGCGCTTCGACTCCCCGCGGCCGATCGTCACGGTGTGCAGCGCCTTCTTCGCGTCGAACTTGCTAACGCGCCCCGCGTGCCACTGCCCGTCGCGCGGCCACAGCACGCGCACGCGGGTGCCCACGGGGACGCGCACGGCGGGGTCCTTGCGCGACGCGCGCGCGCGCTTCTTTGGGCACGCGTCGTCGTCGTTCTCGAGGAGCCCCGCCGCTTCTGGGATGTCATGGTCGGAGGGCTCGAGATTAGCGGCGCCGGTTGTGCCGCCTGTCGCGGCGCTGCCTGCGGTCGTATCGCAGTTTGTTATCGGAGAAACGAGCTCGTCGTCATCGCTGCTATCGTCGGGGCATTCGGATGGGATCGCGTCGGGAAGGTGCTTATTGTGGGCCGCGAAGTGCGGGCTCCCCGCCGATGCTTCGCAATTCAGATCAACAGCCATTCGCATCTCGGTTACAGGGAGATTGCAAGAGACATAGCGTAGAAGAGGTTTGTGAACTTAGTAAGTCATGTAAGTGGAAGTTACGTGAGCGGATTTGGCGAATCCTTCTTGCTTCATGACGTTGCCTGAAGTTTAGGCCGAACAGATCATCAAGCTTCTGTGAAATGGAATGGGAGAAGAAAGGAGTGGAAGTGGATGATGCAGTGGAGGCTCTGGAATTCATTTTACGATTGCAGATCTCCCTTCCGTTACAGTATCCCGGAAATTGAATAACCGGTGTTTTTCATTCTTTTGCATGTGCAGGCCCGCGGAGTTCTATTCCCCTCGGAGTTCCAGTACGGTATATTGCGTTAAAAAAACTTAGTTCACTGTACAGAAAATCAGGGCTGTTCGGGCTTTTTACGGTCTATTTTCGCTATCACAGTTGATGTGGTAGGCACCAGGGGAAACATATGCTGGAGCAAGGGCGGAACGGAATTCCTTCGTTGGATTGGATATCACCTGAGCGGCTTGGTAATTTACTGTTGCAGGGGCGTGATGCTTTGGGTCGAGGGGTGAGCCGGACGAACCGCCATCTTTCGACGAGTTGCTGCGAGACAGGGACGGAGCCGCGAGCTGAGCTGACTGTTCTTCTTGCCCGTCTTCGGTTAGCAAAACCGCCGTGCCTGTTGTCGAGGTTCACATTCGGCTTGGTAAAGGTCTGGTTTGGGGCTGAGTGTTATCGCGTCGCCGCGACTATGAGTGCCTGCCCCTTCTGATTGGCTGCGCCTACAAAACGCGTCGCGTAAATGCGCTTTGGCGTTTGGAAACCCCGTTCTGGAAAACCCGTTCTGGAAAATGGTGCTGACCTGTCCCTATAGGTTCATCAGCGCAAAGTCATTTGGGATTGGTCGAGACCTTGCCCCGCAGCCAGTATGGGATGTGTCGGGATTGGTCAGGAAGCCAAGGGTTCTGTGCGCTCAAGCCCCTCACACACAACCCTTGGAGCCCACCAGATTGAAAGGAGCTTGACGCTCATTTTAGTCGCCTGCCTGTAGTGTGACTTTCCACAGCGTCGCGGCTCCAACAGAATGGCTTTCCGCTCTGTATACGAATTCCGTCGGTTGTGACTAAGGAGAAGGTCGAGAAACAATAGCGAGAAAGGCACAGTCGTGAGGGAGTAATCATTCCTGCACTCTTTCTGAAAGTACCAATGGTAGGCTAAATAATCGGAAATGATAACCATCACTACAACTTCAAAACGCAAAAGCTAGCACTAGTGATAGCGCTTGGAGCATACCTCCATAGTCCATACTCCATAGCTTTCTCTCTTTATGCATGATTACTCTATATCACATACAAGCGCTCCACTTCTATTGAACGGCGCAGCATTTCCGTGCACACCCGAAACGGTACAGCAGCATTGCATATCCTCCACATATCACCATCTCCTTTTCCCCAGCCCTTCCTCCCCGCCCACCACACATGTAGCTTCTGCCATCTCCGCCGTCCCTCCACTAGTCATGATTGCACGGCAAGGCGTTGCAAGTGCTCCATGAAGACCTGGAGTGACACGTCATCGGTGAGAATCACCTCTCCACCTGGGACAGTTGATGCACTGTTGTATGTTGCCGAGGGGTTCAGCTTCGCCAGTAGGAACCGAGCCTGCAATGTGTACACAAGCGGGGTTAGCTCCAAATTCAGGCTCACACAAGGTTATGGTTGCCTACGTCTCTCTCACCATCCCTACCCATCCCCCCAAACCTGGCACTGTATGTGAGATGTCAATGCCCCATAGAAATACTAACAAATGCGAGCAGAAAAGGCAATCAGAGAATACCGCTGCATGCAACAGTATGATTATCTCATCCTTCCCTCTACCTCGCTCCTTGCGCTGCCCCCTGCCACTCTTTCCCCACTCCCCTCACCTAACATGCCTGCCATATCTCTCTTCCCCCTTCCCCATTACACCCTCCCCCCCCTCCCCCCCACCTGGCTGCCGTTCTGGTCGCAGTCCACGAGGCGCGGTGTGGGGAAGCGCTCCGCCATGATGGCAGTGGCGTCCGCCTGGGGGGCTGCCAGCAGCTGCGCAAACGCCTGATAGGGGGGGGTGGGATACGGAGGCAGGGATTTTGGGGGGGGGGGAGGTGGGGGGCGAAAGGGAGAAAGGGTAGCAGTGGGAGGGGTAAGGGAGTGGTATGGATGAGAAGGACGCGAGTGGCAAGGCCATGGCATGCTTCGAGCTCTCACTTCCACCTTCATAAGAGGAACAACTCCCCAGTCGGGGACTAACCCCGTAACATTGCACCCGGTTGTAGTTCACGTAGACACATCAGCGCTCACCTGGTGCTCTCGGACTGGTTGTGGTATCCGGCACTGCACCACTGAGCAACAGCGCGCTGCCGTGAAACTCCTTCTATGTGCTTTACGAAGCCCACCTGGTGCTCGGGCTGGTTGTGGTAGCCGGCATTGCGCCACTGCGCGATGGTGCTGCCATGGAAGATGACCACGGAGAAGAAGGCGTCCAGCAGCAGAATGCGGTCCACTGCTATCGCCGCCACGTCCAGCAGAGCTGGCTCTGGTGGCGCGTTGAACGAGTACGACGTCAATGTGGGCTGCAGGGGGGGGAGTGGGCAGGGGGTATGGGCAGGGGCGAGGAGGGTTGGGAAGGGGTGAAAGCGAGGAATGGGAGAAGATAGCGTCCAGGAGAAGAACGGGGTCCACTGCGATTGCTGCCACGCCCAGCAGAGCTGCTGCAGGAGGCGCGTTGAAGGAGTAACAGAAAGAGGACAATGTGCGGCTGTAGGAATGGGAAGGGGGGGGGCGGGATAGTGGGGGTTGTTGAAAGGGCAAGAAAAAGAGGACAATGTGCGTTGAAGGAGTGGTAGGTCAATGTGGGATGGGGAAAGAAAGGGGGGGGAGTGGTGTAAGAGCAGGGGGAGTGGAAAAGTAGAAATGGGACGTGGCTGGAGTGTCGAGGAGATGGGGAAGATAGGGGCAAGGTAAAGGGGGGGGACTATCCAAGCGTGCGTTGGAAGTCTGACAAGGCGGAAGGGAAAAGAGTGAGCAAGCACAAGGAGGCAGCAGCGGCGGCACCTGGATCATGACAAGGCAGTTGAGCACGTTTTCCCGGTTGAGCGCCATTCTGAAGTACGCCGTCTCATCAGGACTGCTGCCAAACACCTGCACACACACACATGAGGGGGTGTGGAAAATGGCAAACGGCATGGGAAGCAAGGCACGAGTGGACAGGGTGGGATAGGAGAGAATGGGGGTCCGATCAAGGCGTGGGATGCGATGGGATGGGAGGAGAAGGGGGCAATCAATGCATGCAGCGAATCAGAGTAGTAATGGCATGTGGGCTGGATGGATGCCAGCAACACAACCGGGACGGAAGGCATAAGAGGAAGAGTGAGAGAGAGTGCTGAGAGCACCGATTTTCGACAGGTGTGCTTGTGTGCTTTTTGGCCGGAGTGCTTTTCGACCGGATTGCTTTTCGACTGGTGTGTTTTTTGACCGGTGTGTTTTTCGACGGGTGTGCTTTTCGACCGGTGTGCTTTCGACCGGTGTGCTTTTCGACCGGTGTGCTTTTCGACCGGTGTGCTTTTCGACCGGTGTGCTTTTCGACCGGTGTGCTTTTCGTCCGGAGTGCTTTGAGAACGGAATGCTTTCCGGCAAGAGTGCTTTCCGACCGAGTGCTCTTCGGCCGGAGTGCTCTTCGGCCGGAGTGCTTTTCGACCGGAGTGCTTTTCGACCGGTGTGCTTTTCGACCGGTGTGCTTTTCGACCGGTGTGCTTTTCGACCCGTGTGATTTCGGCCGGTGTGCTTTTCGGCTGGAGTGCTTTCCGACCGGAGTGCTTTCCGGCCGGAGAGCTTGTGCTTTCCCGCCGGAGTGCTTTTCGGCCGGAATGAGAGAGCGCTGGGTGCACCGACCAGCAGGAAGTGCGAGTTGATTTCTGAGTCGACTCAAAAGCACACCCACCTGCAGGAACTGCAAGCGGCGCAGGTTGAAGAGGAACTGCGGGAAGATGGAGAAGTTGGGCGAGAGGCATTGGCCAACACCCCCCTGCACCAGCGCACACCCCCCTGCACCAGCATACACCCCCTTGCACCAGCAGACATCCCCCTACACCAGCACATACCCCCCTGCACTAGCACACAAGCACCAAAAACCACCCACCCACCCACCGCGCACCCGCCCCACCAGCACACACTCCCCCCCACCTGCACGAATTGCGAGCGGCACAGGTTGAAGAGGAACTGCGGGAAGATGGAGAAGTTGGGCGAGAGGCAGACGCCAACACCCCCCCGCACCAGTATACACCCCCGTGCACCGAAACCCACCCACCCACCTGCGCCCACCCCCCCACCCCCGCCCACCTGCACGAACTGCGAGCGGCGCAGGTTGAAGAGGAACTGTGGGAAGATGGAGAAGTTGGGCGAGAGCGAGAAGGACGCTGGGTCGTCCTTGCGGTAGTCCCCGAACTTGTTGCACACACGGATCAACATGCGGTCCAGCCACCGCGTGGCGTCGTACTCCTCCTGGGAGAGAGCAGGGAGAGAGGGGAGAAGATGGGGAGAGGGGGGAGTGGGGAGAGAGGGGAGAGAGGGGATAGAGGACCTTTGAGGCACCAAGAAGCCAAACATGTACCACACGCGGATGAGCATGCGGTCCAGCCACCGCGTGGTGCCGTACTCCTTCTTGGAGAGAGGGGGGAAGGGTGGAGGGTGATGGACAGCACAAGGTGAGTGATAGGGGAAGAATCAGCAGAAGCAAGAGTACGACGCATGCACATGGCAGTGGAAAAGGAGGGTGCGTAGGGGCAAAGAAAATAAGGCTTGTACACACACAGAGTGTCACGACCCAGTCCGAAGGAGCTCTTTTCTTCCCCCTCTGACTTAACACATCCCTACGAAACACACCCAGACACATGCAGAAGGCAAGCAGGCTAGCAAGCAAGGGCTGACCTCGGCCTCTATCTTGTGGCTCGCGAGGGGCGCCACCACCACCGCTAAGAGGTAGGCAGGCAAGCTGGCAGGCTAGCAAGCAAGCAAGCAGAACAACAAGTAAGCACGCAACGGCTGACCTCTGCCTCCATCTTGTGGCTCATGAGGCGCGCCACTACCACCGCAGCTGCCTCCTGGTCAAACCCTGCTACCAGGTCCTGCAGGGGGGATGAGGGGTGCGCAGGGGGGAGAGGGGTGGTGGGGGGAACAGGGTTGAGGGGGGAGGTTGAGGGGTGAGGAGAGGGGGAGGGGGATGAGGGAGGAGAGGCGTTTTCCAAGGCAATGCACATGAAAAAGAGGCGAGGGACGTGAGAGGCGTGTTTAGGTTGTGGGAACAGTGAATGGGCGAAAGGGGTGGCATCCAGAGGGAACGAGCGGCAGAGGTGAGGGCGGTGGCCATGGAGCCCACTTTTCAGGTGCGTTAAAGAACCGTGTGAGCTAACACACACGAGGTGCACAGGGGTGCTTTTGATGCGCCTCAAAAGCAATGAGGGCAGTGGCCATGGAGCCCGCTTTTCAGGTGCCATAAAGAACCGTCTGAGCTCATCACATCACATCACACACGAGGATCAGTGCAGTGGGGTGAGTGAGCGCACGTACCGCTGTGGCGATGGAGCCGTCGACCCAACTTCTGGTGATGGTGGTGCAGCGCAGCCGAGTCTCACCCGATGGATGCTGGTAGCTGATGGGGTGAGGGGGAGAGGACGGCGGGGAGGGAGGGGAGGGAAGGGAGGGAGGGGAGGGAGGGGAGGGATGAGAGGGAGGGGAGGGAGGGGAGGGAGGGGAGGGATGAGAGGATGGGCTGTGGATAAGGAGGGGATGACCCACACCCACAAAATGCACACTCCCCACCGCCCAGTCCCCCGCACCTGGTAGTGAAGTGCAGGCAGGTGCAGCTGCTGCGCGGTGGCGGAGGCAGCAGCAATGCACACTGCTACATGCACATTGTGCCACACCCCAACACCCACCACCCACCCACACATGGACTTCCCACCCCACCGCACCGCACCGCACCTGGTGGTGAACTGCAGGTGCAGCTGCTGCGAGGCGGCGGAGGCAGCAGCGGAGGGTGCACCGGAGGGCTGCTGGGCGGTGGCGATGTCAAAGAGCACGGCCACGGTGGTGAGCGCGTCCAGCCCACACAGCTTCCACTGCGTTGTGTGGCCCTGGCTGATCGCCGTGTCACTCGTAGAGGGACCTTTCTGAGAGAGGGAGTGAGGGGAGTAATGGGAGTAATGGGAGTAATGGGAGTAATGGGAGTAATGGGAGTAATGGGAGTAACGATGTGGAGGCATGAGGAGATAAATGGAGTGGAGAGTGGGGTGTGGTGAGCGCGTCCGGCCCACACAGCTTCACCACTGCGTCGTGTGGCCCTGGCTGATGTTCGTTTCGCTCGTAGCGGGAGGGGAGGGGGTGAGGGGAAAGGCGGACCTTAGCTTGTGGATGGGCCATCCAGTGGGGGGGGGGGGGGGTGTGAGAAGGCAATGTGATGGAGGATGGGTGCAGGTGCAGAGGACAGGGATGGGGGGCGGAAATAGAATAAAATGAGCGAGCGCAAGTGGAGGAGGCGGATGCCAGGGCTGATGAAAGCAGCCACCTGCCGAAACTAGTTACCATCAATTTTTGCCCTACGTTTTCAGGAGATTTTTCAAGAGCAAGATTTTTTCTCTAAACAAAGTGTTCTACAAGCCCGCTGCCACGTATGGCTAAAACCACCACCAAGTGGTGTTTTCTCAGGGATGGGGGGCGGAAACAGAATAAAATGAGCGAGCGCAAGTGGAGGAGGCGGATGCCAGGGAAAAGGAGTGTGGTTGAAGCGTGTGATGATTTACACAGTGAGGAAAAGAGGGTCAGAGTGGGACAGCGACAGGTACCTTTTCTAGAGACGCACATGGGCCAATGGCCCCTTGCACCTTGATGTCCTTGGAGCAGTGCAGCTCCAACAACCCACTGGACACATCACAGAGCGGGGGGGGTGGGTGGGACAGCAGGAGTTGGACGGAGGTTGAGGCGAAGGGAAGAGACAAGCTCCTTGCACCTTGATGTCCTTGGAGCAGTGCAGCTCCAACAACCCACTGGACACATCACAGGGGTGGGGAGCGGACAGGGACGGAGGTCAAGGTGAAGGGAGTGCGGGGAACGGGAGGGATGGGGCGGAGAACGCATATGCAGGAGCCACAATCATGGCAGAACAACCCCATGGCCGAGCTCGCAAGCCGCATGGTGGGAGACGAACGGTGGCGTTTAGCTGGAGGTGGCTGAGGCGGCATGGAAGTTACCCTATGGCATGGGAGATACCCATGTATAGGGGGGGATGCATAGGGGGGGGTGCATAGGGGGGATGCATAGGGGGGATGCATAGGGGGGGGTGCATAGGGGGGATGCATAGGGGGGGGTGCATAGGGGGGATGCATAGGGGGGGATGCTTAGGGGGGATGCATAGGGGGGATGCATAGGGGGGATGCATAGGGGGGATGCATAGAGGGGGGTGCATAGGGGGGATGCATAGGGGGGGGTGCATAGGGGGGTGCATAGGGGGGATGCATAGGGGGAGGTGCATAGGGGGGATGCATAGGGGGGGGTGCATAGGGGGGATGCATAGGGGGGATGCATAGGGGGGGGTGCATAGGGGGGATGCATAGGGGGGGGTGCATAGGGGGGATGCATAGGGGGGGATGCTTAGGGGGGATGCATAGGGGGGATGCATAGGGGGGATGCATAGGGGGGATGCATAGAGGGGGGTGCATAGGGGGGATGCATAGGGGGGGGTGCATAGGGGGGTGCATAGGGGGGATGCATAGGGGGAGGTGCATAGGGGGGATGCATAGGGGGGGGTGCATAGGGGGGATGCATAGGGGGGATGCATAGGGGGGGGTGCATAGGGGGGATGCATAGGGGGGGGATTCATGGGACTGGCCACATGGCAGGTGGCTGAGGTCGGCTGGGGGTGGATGGAGGTGGGAGATGAATGGTGGGGGGAAACGATGGTGGTAGACGAATGGTGGGGGAAAATGATGGTGGTAGGTTCTGGAAATGATGGGGAGGAGGGGCGGAGAGAAGGAGGGGAGGAGAGCAGCAGGGGGTGCAGTGCGGGCTGACTTGAATGAGAGGCCGAGGCTGGCGTCGCCCTGTTGGAAGACCCTCTTGAGCGAGTCCTTGAACACCGTGTGCCCGTAGCTCTCTGACAGCGCCACCAGCCCGCCCGTCCGCTCCACTGCTACCTTCATCTCCGCTATGCCCACCTGGGGGGGGGGAGAGAGAGTGGAGTGGAGGAGTGAGGTTGAGAAGAAGAGAGCGATTGTGGTGAGGGTGGGGCGGGAGGCTGAGAGGACAGTGGCGAGATGAGAGTACAGAGGGGGTGGCAGGAGAGGGAGCTTGAAAAGACTTCTCTCTCCGCTATGCACACCTGCGGAAGGGTGGCAGGAGCGGGAGGGGTCGAGGGAGGAGAAGGGAGCGAGGCTGGACGAAGGAAGGGTGGGGGAGGCAGTGGAGGGAGGTTGAGGAGGGAGGTTGAGGAGCCACGAGGAACGGGTCCTTGGATGGAAGCTGAGCGGGGGAGAAGGAATCTAGTTTTGAGGCGCCTCAAAACAAGAGGAACGGGTCCTGTGATGGAAGCTGAGCGGGGGAGAAGGAATCTAGTTTTGAGGCGCCTCAAAACACGAGGAACGGGTCCTGTGATGGAAGCTGAGCGGGGGAGAAGGAAAGAAAGAAAAGCCACTTGGTTACACCTTGCACACTACTATTGAGCACAGCCCACTTCATTTGGTCGTGCGCGGAGGCGAAGAGGTCGAGTGCGTGGCCCTGCACAACCAGCTGCTTGGCGACCCCCTCGTAGAACATCACAGCCTTGCTGTAGTGCGAATCATCGAGAAGAGGGGGAGAGGAAACCACGTCTCACCTGGTCGAGAGCAGACGCGAATAGGTCGAGCACATGGCCTTGCGCGACCAGCTGCTTGGCGAGCCCCTCGTAGAACTTGGCGGCTTTGTTGTAGTGCGGCGCCGCGTCCTTGTCCAGGTCCTTGTGCGACCGGATGGGGTCCGACAGCTCGCGACTCACTATCTGATGAATGGGGAAGACGGTGGGGAGGGAAGGGGGAGGGTAGGGGGAGGGTGAGGAGGGCGTGGGAGAAGGAATGAGGGAGGAGATGATGGGATGGAGAAACAGTTGCTACAGAATCGAGGCTAAGGACAGTGCTACTGACAGCACAGCACAACACAGCACCGCACCGCACTGCACCTCACACCACAGAACATCACAGCAAAGAGCAGCGGCAGCAACTGACCACGCCTGGCCCTTCAGTGCAGGGCCCGCCGACGAAGCTGAGGATCCTGGCGCCGGTGTTGGGCACGCACGCGCCCAGCAGCCCCACCGCCACCGTCAGCGCTGTGCCCGTGCACCGTGCCGGGCGCTTGTCCGCCGCCACTGGGAAGGCGTCTCGACCCAGCTCGTCCAACACCTGGGTTGCCGGGGCAGGTTGGGGACCGGGGATGCATCGGCACGGATGGGGATGGGGAATTTCCTTTAGTTTAGGCCACCGGGGATGCATCATGACCCAACTCGTCTAGCACCTGAGGGGCGGGCGCAGTCACCACCATGCCATGGGGGGGGATTGGCAACACGGTTATTTGTCAGCGCAGTCAGGGGTGGGGGGACAAGGAGCGGATGGGGGGTGCTTTTGCGCGTGGGGCAAGTACAGTGATGGAGGCGGGCGTATAGGGACTCTACTCGAAGGGTACAAGGCGACTTTGCTTGAATGGGGGCCGGTGGGTGGGTGGGTTTTGAAAGGAAGTTTCTGAACCTGTAACAAGCTACCAACCAACGACGAGAGTAGCAAGCTCAGCGGTGGCAGAGAGTCAACTCACCGTGGAGAGAGTGAACTCGCACTCCTGTGCCGGCAGCAGGAACCGCGCCACACTCCCCGGCAACACCGCCCCATGCCCCGTGCCCCCAACCCCCCCGGCCACTCCTCCGACCTTCCCCCCCGGCCCTGCGCCAACGCCCACACCCGCCCCCGCGAGCCCCAGCTGGTCGACCACCTGCTGCTGCGAGGCCTCCTTGCCGCCCCTGAAGACGAACATCTTGGGGCAGTCACCGAAGCCCAGCTCGTGCACGTACACCAGGGAGCCGTAGGTTATCAGCCCCACTAGTGCGTTCTCTGGCAGCAGTCCTATGGCCTGCAGGGGGTTTTAGGGGGTAGCGGGGGGGGGGAAGGGTGAGCGAAGGCACGTGGTTGTTGAGGGATGATAGGCTGCGGCAGACTGGCGGCCGCCTGCTGCTGCGAGGCCTCCTTGCCGCCCTGAAGACGAACATCTTGGGGCAGTCACCGAAGCCCAGCTCGTGCACGTAGACCAGCGACCCGTAGGTGATTAAGCCCACTAGCGCGTTCTCCGGGAGCGGGGAAGGGGCGGGGGTGTAGGGTGGGGGGGTGGGGGGGTGGGGCGGGGGGGATGGGTGAGTGAAGGCACGTGGTTGTTGAGGGGTGATTATGGATGCTGCAGACTGGCAACGAGTTGACGGGCGAGTTGCGGGGAGAAAGGGGAGAAGAGATGGGGAAACATCAGCCCGTTAGCCCTTCCGCACTCTCCCATGCTCTCCCCAACCCCCCCCCCCCCCCTTCCCTCCTTTTCCCGCTCCTCCCCCTCCTCCCCGCCTCCTCCCGTTCGCCCGCCCAACTCCCTCCTCCCCCCCACATACTCTTCACACCGGCTCCAAGCCAAAGGGCCTCCCCGCCTACCCCTTCTGTCCCCCCTGTCACCTGCGAGACGGCAGGTCTTGAGGTACCCCAGCTCCTCCTCGATGAGGCACGTGTGGAGCAGGAAGAGGAAGACGCAACCCCAAGCCCTTCCCCTTTCTCTCCCCTGTGCCCACTCCCACGCAATCCCGTCCGCACCACCTCTCTCCCCCACGCCGCTAGCCCCCCTACCTGCGAGACGGCCGTTTTGAGTTACCCCAGCTCCTCCCAAATGAGCACGAGCCCAGCACAAAGACGAACCCTTCTTCCCTCCCGCCCTCCCTTCGCCGCCCCCTCCCCACCCCCCCCCCAAAAAAAAAATCCACCTGTTCCGCCATGCACGCACCTGCGAGACGGCGGTTTTGAGGTACCCCAGCTCCTCCTCGATGAGGCACGTGTCGAGTAGGAAGAGGAAGACGGGCGGGTGCGCGGGCGCGGCGAGTGGCAGCGAGTACTCGATGGTCGTGTACTGCGGAAACAGCTCCGCCGGCAGGTTCTGCTCCGATATCGCCGCATAGTGCGGCGGGAATTGGTTGCGCTGGGCGCGGGGGGAGGGGGGTGTGGGGGGTGGGGAGGAGGATCAGAGGAAGGGGGGAGAAAGGAACACGAAGGAGGAATGGCGGGTGACGGGAGAGAAGGAGGGTCTGAGAAAGAGAGGAGGAGGGTTTGAGAAGGATGGGGCATGAGATGTGATCTGGGTGGCGATAGAGACAGCCTGGGTGGTTTAAGTAAATTCATAGCGGCATGGCCTTTCCTCCCTTGTAGCTCGCATCCAACAGCCTTGGGGCCATGCGATCGTACCCTGGCCACGTTCGCTGGGGAACGAGCTCACTCAGCGACGAGGGAAACGTTTCAACAAACCAGTGTAGCGAATCCACCTACGAAATGCCGTATCTGCCAGGCGCATGGCTGCGCACGACGTCACGCGCTGCAGACAACCTTTCAGCGCGATTCAAAGTCCGCGAGGCACAACGACGGCGCTTCCCCACCCATCTCCTACGCACCTGGTAGCAGAAGGGGCAGACCCACATCTTGCCGATGAAGTCCACGCGCGCGAACGGGTTGAGCACGGCGACGCACGACTTGCAGCGGATGGGCTCGTACGGCAGCACGGGCATGTCGGGCAGGCGCTTCACGGGCGTGTACAGCGCCGCGAACGGCACCACGCACTTGGTCGCCTCCACTTTAGAATTCGGCCACACGTTCCACGTCAGCCGCACGCCGTCCACCGCCTCCAGATCCGCGAAATCCGGCGCTGCCATGGTGAACTGCTGTGGTCGATGCTGCTAGGGTTTGTGTCTATAACGTTTCTATGTTCTATGACGGATCGCTGATTTTCGCGTTAGGGTGGTCGACTGGGACGA